TAGCCAAAAACCAGGGCTTTCGATCTATCTTAGAAACATCTTAGTAGAAAATCGCTCCCTGTCACTTAAATCTCGGCCAAAGTTAAAAAATCAAATTTTTTAAGCAGAAATTTCCAGAGGTCATGTGATATTTCTGTAAATTGACGCCTAATTAAATTTCCTGATGCTCCTTTAAATCGTGTTCATAGGTTCATGGGGAATTTTTTTCTCCTTTAAATCAGATTCGTAGGAATCTTTACTCCTTTAAATCAAATTCGCGAGGGTCTTTACTCCTTTAAATCGGGCTTATTAGCACCTTCCTTTGAAAAGGGTTTGTGAAGAAGGGTTACTATATAGAAGTAAGTTTTTTTTTATTATTATTATAAAAAAACTTACTTATTTTTAACAATACACTTACCTTTACTCCTTTAAATTGGATTCATGAGTTTGTAACAGACCTTTATTCCTTTAAATCAAGTTTGTGAAATCTTTAAAACATATTTTTGGAGACTTTTAATTCTTTAATCATGTTCGTGTGTTTGTGGAGAACCTTTATTTCTTTAAAATTGAGTTTGTGGAGATCTTTACTCCTTTAAATTGGGTTCGTGGAGATCTTTGCTTCTCTAAATTAGTTATTCTTAGTACCTTCCTTCGAAATAGGTTCGTGAAGAGAGTTATAAATAAAAATAAGTTTTTTTTTTATTTTTTTTATTATAATATTAAAAAGTTATTTTTAATACTTTTAATAATATAAAAATCTTTTTTTATATAAAAAAGATGTCGCATTCCTTATTATAATAATTTGGATCAATAAAACATCTCACATATTTATAATTATTTTTTTAAATTCGTTGTTTCTTGACATTGGGCATATATAAAATTTTATTATAGGGAGTAGAACAAAAGTAATAAAAAATATTAATTTTTTTATAATTATTTTATAATTATTATAATAATCAATTTTTTAAATAAATATTAAATAAATTAATAAATAATATATTATATTATATAAATTAATAAAAATTTAATATTTAAATTGATAATTTCGAATTTTGATTAAAAACTATATTAGAGATAACACAAATATTTTTTTACACGTTTCTTTTTTTTTTTCTCTTATTTTACATTTTATTTATTTTACATCTTATTAATATCTTTTGATATTTTTGATAATGAATATGTACCAGATTTTGAAGACCCAAAACTTGATAACACTCAAGAAACTTTAATTAATAATAACCTTGAGAACTTAAATTCAGAAGAAACAAGTGATATCATTGATATTTCTATAAATGAATCTGTAGATAAACTAACTTTTACTTTAGAAGATAATCAACAAAGAGGAAAAACTTTTTCTTCAGTCTGAAAATTTATATATAAAAAATACAATGATGAAGGAAAGTTTATAGCAATAGTTTGTAATTTGTGTAAAAAGGAATATGGAACAAAAACTTCAACAAGTTCACTTAAAGAACATTTAATTAAAGAGCATAAGCATAATGTCATTATTAAACAATAAACAAAATTGAATTTTATTAAAAAACTATATGACAAAGATAATGTTATTAGAGTAAAAGATTACAATGATACTCTTCTTAATTTAGTTATTGGATATCAACTACCTTTTGCTATTGTAAATAATAAATGGTTTGATGAATTTTGCAAA